CAAAATCGCACCTCGACATACACATACAAAGATTTCTTCAGAAACGGGCAGCCACAAACCCAGCATGACTGAGGACAGTCATGACGATGAGCTGCACACCCAAAATAAGGCCTTTTCAGGCCTTCTTGGATTTGTAATCCTTCTCAAACTCAGCCGAGGCTTTTGCCGAGGCAAGCTTCGCACACTTCTTACCTTCAGCATCATCCTTGCCCTCCTTGATCGCCAGGTTGTAAGCTTTGTGGTAAGCTCGGCTCGTGAGGCGCTTTCTCAAGGTCGTGAGGTCGATCTCGTGGTCGGCGAGGTTTCGCTTCCTGCCAGCCCCAGCAGGCTTCTCCTGCTCAGACTTTCCAACCGCCTTCTTCGGCAAGGAGTCGCCTTCATCTTCGCCAGCTTCGGCCTCATTCTTGAGATCCGTCGCATCTTCGCCAGCTCGCTTGGATTTCTTCGCCTCATTCTTGAGATCCGTCGCATCTTCGCCAGCTCTGGCCTTGGATTTCTTGGTCTCATTCTTCGGCTTCGTCGCATCTTCGCCAGCTGTGGCCTTGGATTTCTTCGTCGCATTCTGCGGCTTCGTCGCATCTTTGCAACCTGTGCCCTGGGATTTGGCAGGCTGAGCCTTTGCTTTTGCTTTCTTCTTGGGCTTCGGAGCAGGCTTCTCGGTCTGGACAGACTTCTCATCCAGCTCCACAAGCAGCTCCTGCTCGGCCGGGTCGAAGGTGGAGCCGCCCAAGAGAGCATGCAAGAACAGGCCCTTGCTCTTCGGCGGGGGCGAGGAAGCTGAAGTCGCCGAAATCTTGGCCTCAGATTTCTTTGGCGGCGATGCAAGCTTGGCCTCAACCAAGTCCTCCTCATCCACATCGCACTTCTCCAGGACTTTCTGGAAGATAGCAGCAGGGTCAATGCTCGGGCCAGCGATCTCTGCATCCAGGTCGGTTGTCGAGGGATGTCTGCTGGGAGGGGAGGACGTGGGAGTAGCAGCTGCCACCAAAACTCCGTGACCAGGGCTGCCTGAGCCGGTAGAGCCTGCGACCTCCTCGACCCCAGTCAAGAGGTTCAGGACCTCTTCCAAGGCTGCTACCTGAGCAGTGTCTGCTCGTCGGAAGCAGCGGGCTTTCGCTGTCTCACAGCTTCGAAGCGATCGGCAATGACTTAGAGACATGCGAACCCAATCGTCAAGCATGTCTGAGAAATCCTCCGGGCTTTTCTTTGTCTGATTCAAACTCCTCTGGCAATCGA